GCTCTCTCTCATCTAGGCCTGAGGGGGCACCACCATCACTGCTCCGCAGCTCGGCCAGCAGCCAGCCGCACAGTCCCAAGGGCAGAGATCCCCACCCCTCACCAGGACGTTTGCTCTTGCTCTTGATGCAGCTGCTGTCTCAGCGGGCAGGTTGGACCATGAGCCCCATCTTTAGAATATCATGGAGGCTTTCAATAAAAAGAGAGAGGCTAAACGTTTCTTGTACAAAACCCCCAAAGGTCAGTGTTGACCTCCTGGCAAGTAGCTGGCTTCCCAGATAACAGACTGGTGCGCGTCCCCGGTCAAACACAGGTCCCCACAACGAACCACCCGGCACGAAGCCCCGTGCACGTGAGCAGCCCTGCCACGGGACATGTACACCCACGTGCAAACGTGCACGGGGAGGACATACAAGCACACGGAAAGATTGAAGCAAGCAAAGAGTTCCTGTAGGCAATTGTGTCGGGTGTGATGAAGCTTCAGGAACGAAGACAAAGATCCTCACGATGAAGCGTCTCATGTGCTCTCCTTTTCCTGCTCGGGAAGGCAAGGCCCGAACATTCCCCATTGTACGTGTTCTGGGCTTCACACGTGGGAATCTGATAGTTTTGCTATATTCTACCATTGTACTTATAGGGACGTGCATTACGTTGTCTAATTCACAAGGCTTGAGCTAAAGCTTATTCACACTGCTTATTTGCCCTGAGGCAGCACCGCAGAGCAAAGTGCCTTAAAGTGGCAGTAAACTGTATTTCTTTAGATTAAATGACTCTGGATTATAAATACCCTGGGACACGGACTGCTTTTTTCCTCTGGGTTTGTTCCAATGCAGGCAGTAAGGAGTCGAGGGCTGGGGCTGGGACTCCTACACGCTGCTGGAATCCAAACTGCGATAATACACTTACTCTTCCCTTGATGCGAGTGCAGTAAGGTAGAAAGGTCTTGGCATAAATGAGGATTGGGTTATGATCTCTAAGGAACATTAGTTGGGGGAATCGCAAATGACTGTTGGCCTTGGTTCTATTAGAAACCCAGCGCTGAGAGCTGAGAAATGCTGACAAATGAAAAAGTAAATGCAAGAAGGCAAAGATATTACTCACCACAGCCTTGTTCCACAGGCCACAAAAGCACCAATTATTGCTGGAGATAAATATTAGTGTTAAAACTCTGGGGTCATCTCTATTGCTCTTGGCCCTCTGGTCTGCAAAATATCCTCTGCTACAGAAACATTTTGAGTAGTATAAAATATAGGGCCAGTTCCTCAGCTGCTGTGAATTGATATAATTCCTTGGACTTCAAGCTACAACCAGCTGGGATCGGGCTCTGTAGTTCAATGAGGTCTCTTATTGTTACAGCACTGGCTGGCAGGCAAGTTTGAGGGCTGGTTTGTGTATTTTGTGGGGGCCTTTGCTCTCCATATTTCTAGTGATAAAACCTGATCTGACAAACAACACGACTCCTAGGTCAGCCCAATCGACCACATGGTGGCATCCTCTTCCTTACTGATACTGCAGTAGTAGAGTGATGCTCTGAGCCGTGGCAGGGAATCTGGGCTGAGTATAATTCACATTATCAGCAGAGAGATGAGAGTGAGTGCGATTCCTCTCTTGGAGGGTGCCCATAGATTTGTCCTCGTGTACAAGAGGCAGAGAGGAGCAAACAGAGAACTGGTGCTGTACAAACTAGATGGCAAAACTAAGTGCGTGTAATTCTGTACACTGCCACCACAACGCAGTGCTGTTTCAGAGTATCCCTCTCTCTCCGAGTAGGAAGCTGGCTATGGATGGTGAAATGCAGGTGTGAAAGTAGTACATGCTATGGCTTGTCTGTGTTGGCTTAGTCTAGTATACACGGGGAACAACAGCAGTGTAGATGCATGGCATGTGCTGTGTGCTAGCCATCAGAGTGCAAAAATCCCCACAGGCCCTATAACTCTGGTTATTGGCTGGTGGAGTTGCATCCTCACTGCTAGTGTTACCTTGCTAGTTAGGTAAACCCAGCACAGATGTGCTACTTCACGCTACAGCTGCACCTTCAATCATACTCTTGTGCTGCTTGGTCTGCTTGCCAGGTGCTGCATATTGGATGTCCTGAGTAGCTGTGGTAGAAGGCTATCACTTGTACAGGGGGGAGAGCAGCAGGACTGGCCAGGCTGATCTGGATGGTAGTATTGCAAGGGGCTGGCATATCAGGCTCTGAGGCTGTCAGAAGGGCTGGTGGTATAGTAGAAAGCAGATAGTGGGAAGGGGCAGACCAAGGAGAGGGTCTCGGAGCCCAGTTTGATTGCCCAGTGTTGTATGTAGCAGCTGTCCTCTTTTAGCTATTTGTAGCAATGCATGGGACAGCTTTTCAAGCTCCTAGGCTGCAGCAGCTATCCACCAAAGTATCCCAACAGTGAAAGGGTGGCACCCTCCTTGGAGCTGAATCCCAGACCAGCAATGCTCAAAGCTTGCACCTCCCCTGCATGAGCTAAAGAACCAGTTCTGGCAGCAGAAATAAAAACATATCCATTTTCAGGGACTGGCCACTGCAGGGAAGCAGGTGCTCCATCTACTAGCCCAGGTGCACGCAGAGACTGGGGCAGGGGGAGGGGGAGGTCTGCAGGCAGGACTGTGCACACGTTTATAATGCAGCACCATTGCACGGAATCTGCACTGCCTGGGCCTCGTGGGTCATGCAGAGGTGGGTTGGAGGAGTCCAGGCTCCCCCGAATTTTGCCCCCTTTGACTCGCCATCCTGCATCCAACAGTGCTGTTCTCCCCCCTGGTTTATCCTATTGATTTTTCCCATTGCATTCCAAGGTGTGGGCAGGACTCCAGCCCATGCTGGGGTTGGATCTGTCTGTGCTTTCCACTCAGGCACCCATTGTCTTCTCAATGTCCTGGTTGGATCTATTGTTAGAAGGGGCTTTGGGGGGCATGTGACCCTCTAATGTGCATGGATCCTTCCCCCCTGCAGTAATCTAAGAGACTTGGCATGTGGTGCAGCTTGTTGCTAGCTCATTGATTTGGCTTTAACTGATGTTTTGGCCAGGTGGGACCCTTTGCTGCACACTGGCAGTGACAGCCTCATACAGCAAGGATAGCTGAAGTACAGGCCACAGGCTGGATGTACCCCTTCTTCCAGGGCAATAGCCTAGTGGCTTCTTCCACCAGAGTATCCAAGGACCTCCAAACCCTTCAGGTAAGAAAGAGCAGTGCTGCTGTTCCCACCTGCAGATTGGGAACTGGGGCCCAAAGAAATGAAGTGAATTACCCAAGGGCACACAGGGAGTGTGTATCCAGCCAATGCTCAACCCACAGATCTATGCTGCCTCCCAGAGGGATGGATCCTGCTATCACCAGGGGTTCTTTGGAATTTGAACTCAGTCCCTCTAACACCGTCAACAAGAGTCATGACCACATCTGGAGGTGCCTATAGAGAGGATGGGGAAGCCCCAACCCCAAATCCCATGCTGGCACTAGCAAAACATCCAATCCTTAACCATGCCTTGGCACAGCCACCCCAACTCCACAACGGAAGTGGCAGAGGCATCCCTCCAAATCTCATCCCTTGCAGGCACACAGTGGGTACCAACTGGAAGCACCTGGGATAAGTTCCAGGCTCTCGGGGTTGTGGGCCCCAGTGGAAGGGGCAAACTTTGTGCTTCCTCCCCAAGCAGCAAGACCTTATTGGGTTTGGGTAGCAACAATGACTTCCACATGGCATGAAAGGTGGTGTGATGGGCTCCTGCTCAGTGCAGCCAGGGCTATTCTGGCAACTTCACAAGCCTGGGAGCAGCACATGCATGACAGAATCAGTGTTGCTCTCCCTGGATGCATCTACCCAAGTCATTTACTCCAGTTGCCTAATTAGCTCTGCAGTAAAGTCTCAGCATCTACACGTGCAGCCCTATTAGGCTGCAGCAACTAATAAACACCGCCATAGGTTAGTACTTGTAAACACACGGACTGTCCTACAGTGGTGTTATTTACCCTACCGCAATGCATGTGTAGATGCTGATGGGGCTGGCTGAGGCATTAGGGTGCTTCAGTGTGGGGGCTGCCTGCTAGCTAGCCCCACACTGGGGCACCTTTGTGCCCCTGCCAGCCCCTCTGTAGCACGTTGAGCCTGGTTGGAGCAGCCCTGGGCTGGCAGGCTGACCCCCAGAGATCCCCTGTCAGCCAAGGCTGCCCTGACCTGGCTCAATGTGCTGCAGTCCTGGGTTCATGTGCAAATGGCACACCAGGGAGCAATAAACTCCAGTGCAAACTGTGCCAGAGTTTATTTGTTCATATTAATTGCACATGTAGATGTGCACACTGGGTTAGTCCCTTTATAATGGGCCTCAGCCTATGGAGCAATACCCATTGTGATCCATCTCAGATCCCCCTCACCCAAACTCTTGCCAGCGCACTGCTGGGACAGCATGGTGCAACTCCCTGCCTGTCCCTTCCTCCACCCCAGCTCACTGTGGACTGTGCACAGGTACACAAAGGTGATTGCCAGCTGATGTGCTGAGCACCAATCCTGGCACATCAGGCTTTGGTGACTTGTGTTCCAGACTGCCCCCTCAAAGGTAAGGTAGTGCCAGGCCCTGGCACACCCCAACTGTGACTCCCAGCCAGCTGTGCCCACTCTACCCTGCCAGAGGTCAGCCCATCTTATATGTATAAACCAAGCTTCACAGCAGCTCAGAGTGCAACCAAGTGATGGGAGATGCTGAGCACTGGCTGATAGAGCCCAGGCCTTCATCTGGGAAAGTAACATTGCTTGAGGAGCTGGAGAACCACACAGCGGGCCGCGGCTCCCTCCCTTACAGTGTCCATCTTTGACTCCAGGTGTAAGAGTCCATCCCTGCATGTCCTTCCCTTCACTTCATAAACATTAAAAGGACCCCAGGTGCAGCCACCTTTGCAGCTGTGTCTTGGCACTTAGGCCTTCCAAGACTGCCCCCTGTGCTTAAGCAACTTTAGTGAGAAGGTTTCAAATAACTGCCCAGGAAGACTGTGACTGTGGTTTTTCTGTTTTAATTTACTGCTCGTCAGATTTAAAAAATAATAAATAAACAAATCAAGGATGTTAAAAGAGGATGAAACCCCAAACTGGAGGCTGCTGGTGCCTTGTCTTTCTGATAGGGCTGAGGGGTCCCTCCCAGCTCCTCTGAGGTCCAGGTGGGTTTGGCGGTGGGAGATGTTTCTCAAGGGGAAAATAAAACTAAAACCCAACATCAGGCAATGGTCATTCACGGTCGACTGGCAGACACACAACCCACAGAGGCTGACATCCAAGTCTCAACAGGAGTTTCCAAGAAGAGGGACCCGTCCTGCTCTTCTCAAGTATTGCAGAAGCTTTGAGAAAAAGCTACTCATTGCACATGGTGTGCAGCAACACACGCTGCCAGGCTTCGGGAGCAGGATCACAAGCAGTCCCTGCACAGAGCCACTTGTCCTTTCCGGTAATCGCGGCATGGGCAGAGGCGTCGGTACTTGGTGCTGTAGCCGGCGCAGCTGTAGAGCAGCGGTTCCTTCTGGAGGTAGCACTCCCGGACGTTCTCGGCCACAGCTGGGTACAGGTGGTTCATCTCGTACTCGGTGCTGTCGCAGGCGATGTTAAGCCTGGTGAACAAACACACACAGCTGAGTTTCACTGCAGGCAACTATGTCCCATTCTTGCTCGAGGGGATGGATCCATGTTTAACTGGATGGGGGGCGGCGGGGGGAGCAACTACTCTTGTGGTGAGGCGAAGGGTTTGGGATTTTAACCCTATTCTATCCTTTACAGAACTTCTCACAGAGCCTCCTGCTTAGAAAGTCACAGCACTTGTTAGCCTTGCTCATTAAAACAATATGCTTGATTCACGTACGGTTTACACTGTAAGCACATGTACACTACGTGTGACATAAGTTACCTGTCCTGTCAGCACATGAGAACAGCATGGCTCAAGCAGCTCCATCGTGAAATGTATGTGCTCAGCATGACCCATGCGTGAAATCTGTGTGACCTATGTGAACCGCAGGCAAAACCTAAACGGCTGGCCCCAAAGTCATGCGATGAGCCACCTCCCATTCTCAGATGGGCATGCAGGCTCCCTACTGATTTCACTTCGGCTCTGGAGGGCAGTCCTCTGACATGAGGCACATGCAGATCCACATCTCACATCTGTGTGGGTCTCACAGCTGGAAGGGACTGGCTATCAGAACAGGGACAAGCCAGCATCAGCAAGCACCTCTGGAAGGGCAACAGCAGGAGAAAGGCACTGAAGAGAAGTCTCAACCAGCCTCCTGCTTCTTCCAGCCCATGCTCACACCTGCAGGTGGTGCTGGAAGGCTGGCATCTCCTCTGGTCAGCGCAAGGCTGCTGGGTATTTCCAGATACTTTCCATCTCTAATAAATGCTGATCTGAACTAGTGAATCCGAACCAGCCATTTCCCTAAAACGGCGGTTTGGGGGGGGGAGTAGGCGAGGAGCGAGTGGAATGCGAGCTCCAGCTCTAATTTATCATATAAAAATGTCACTAGGACTCAAATTGCCTGCCTGACCAGCGTGACAGAAATGGTAATGCTTGCATTTTAATTGTCCACCGCGCAGCACGGAATCGGCTGGCAGATTTATGCTCTATTAAAACTTCACTGCTGTGAGCTCAAAATGTACTTTTATAGAGAAAGATATAAAAGCAGAGGGGGGGGGAGAGAAAGGTGCCTGAATAATCTAACATTTATTTTGCACCAGAAAGCCATTTGGGCACCGAGCACGGAAGCGACAGGCCTCTCCCCGTATTTCTAGCAGCCTGAGCCGGCTGCCTGGCCTACAAGGGGGCCGGCAACTGACCACATAAATGCAAAAAGGAGAACACAGCAAAACTCCAGACACCGAACAGGACACGCTGGCCTTCTAGGGCGAGAAGAGGCAGTGCTGTCTAGTGAGCAGAATCAGGGCTTGCGAGACGGGACACTTGGGTTCAACTTCTGTCCTGCTGCGGGATCGGTGTGTGGCCCAGGGGGCCAAATTGTTCCAAATAACACCCAATTGGGGCCACCTGCTTCAAAGGGAAACCATCTACTCACACTGAGACCCCTCCAGGGAGCTCTGTGCCACAGGGCTTTGAAACTCAGGCCACTTACTTACTGACTTACATAGGGGCCCCGAGGAAAATCTGTCTTGGAGTGGGATGCTGATCTCCCCAGCCTTTAGCTCTGGTTTTCAGAGACACTGAGCACCTACAGCTTTCGCTGACTCTGGCTAGCCCTGTGGTCACTCCGCCCTTTAAATTCTTTGTGCCTCAGTTTGTCCACCTGTAATGCATGTCAGAACAGGGACAAGCCAGCATCAGCAACCACCTCTGGAAGGGCAACAGTGGGAGAAAGGCACTGAAGAGAAGCGTCAACCAGCTTCCTGTTTTTGATGGGGCTGGTGCCATTCTCCTGGCCAGAAGGAGTATTGAGAGAGCCAAGGAATTCATTTCTGAGCTCCACAGACTGGGGGGCAGTAGAAGAGTATTGGTATCAGCCCATCAAGGAAGAGAGAGAGGAGAAGGGGGGGAAAAGCAAAACTTACTGGAGAAACACGTCCTTTTTGTTGAGGAACTTGAAGAACGTTGGCTCGCAGACCAGCCCATGCTCCTGACAGGTCTCGGTGCAGGCCCTCCGCACCTCAGACACCCACACCTGCATGGAGTTCATGGGAGGCCAGGCCTGGGGGCTGCTGCTGGCATTGCGTGCCCACATCAGGTGGCTGGCATTGGGCAACAGGGTGAAGGGGCTCAGAGAGCTTTGCATAGCATGGCTGCCGGGCTTTGCTGATAGAGAAGCAGCAGCTCCAGCACAAAAATCCTGGCAGGAGAGAAAAGCCTAGGTCAGCGAGTATGGTGGGAGGGGAAGGGTTAACCCCTGGGCGGGGAAGAGCTTCCAGAAACACCATTTTTTTTTTACACTGCAGCTGGGTCTACAGGCAGCTGCCTGCAGCTCAGTGATAAATCATTCAGGCCCACTCCACCAGCCCAAAGGTGATGCCTAAGGGACTCCACAGGCTGAGTATCTATGACTCAGACACGGTTAATGACTCCAGTCCTGACCTGGTGGAGCTGTGGCCCTCGCTTGCAGCAGGGAGATCAAAGGGCTGTCTCCACGCTGCTGGCACAGGCAATGCTTCTCTTCTGGCACTGCTGGGTTCCCAAGCAGCTCCCTGCCAATAGATTCCCAAGACAGGGGTGCAGGAGCCACATACAGCAAAGAGAAATATTTGCTGGGGTGTTTAACTCATCCCCCAGGTTTCTTTCAGATGCACACAGCTCTGCTTGGGCTCTGGAGCTAACCCAGGGTCCCACAGACGGAGGGCCCCTAAGTCCCCAGGCTTCGTGTCAGAACTAGAAGGTGTCCCTCATCCCTGAGCAACTCCCTACCTTGCCCCCCCTGCCAGGAATGGCTCACACAACTGTTGTGCATGCTCCCTGCCCCTATCCCTGGGTCTGCTAACATACTTTGAAATAGAAGCAGCACTTTGCAGCCCAAGCCCTGGTCAGAAATGACTCAATACAGCAACAACAGAAGGAGCTGTAGGCCTGGGCGACTACCTGAGAAGCTCAAGGAACTCTCACTTTTACAGTTCTCATTGTGACGGTACCAGACTCTAGGCAGAGCATATGACCCTCATTTTTCATGAACACTAAATCCACCATCAGAACCAAGAAAACAACAGCAGAGACCACCCCCCTACCAGGTAACTGGCTGCCAAGGGAGTAACTGAGTGGGCATCAAGGCTCAAGCAAGTGTGTACACCCTGGTGGGATGGGGCACGGGTCACTGACCTGGTGCTGAATATAAGCGTGAATCCGCTCCAGCATTCCCTCACAGGTGTATTCATAGGGCAGGTAAGGGTCCACCTGTAGAAAGGAAACAATAGGACACAGGCATAAGCAAGCAGAGAAAGGTTATTCCCCTCCCCTCGGCCGAGGGCTTTCTGCTGTCCATCACCTACATTGAGGCCTGTGTTGCCTGTAATCCCAATACTCAAATACTCTCACAGCCATTTACTAATGACTTTACATGCTTCCATCCACAGTGCCAGGAATGGCAAAAACCTCATGTCCAGGCACATTCTCCATACTGGGAATAGTGAATGCTGGGTATAAAATGGGCAAATGCCAACAAGTCCATAAAACTGCCTTGTTGCTTGCACCAAAGATCGGCAACGATTGATGGTGATGGCACAAGATCTGGTCCCCAGGGGTAGCAGTGGGGCATGAAAAGGATCACTTTGCTCCAGAATGAATTCAGCCATTCTTCTTCATAAGTGACATGTTTGGAAAACAAAATTGTTTGGGGTGAATTCAAAACCTTTGCTGTGATGAAATAGAAACAGTTCGTTTTGGAATGGACTTTTCTGTTCTCTAGCTTATCAGTTTAAACCCACTAGGAAAAGAAGAATTCATTTGGACAAGGGGCACGTCTGTCTGCTCAAAATGGTTTGATCTTTTTTAAAAAACAAAACCCCAGTAGAAATCGACACGTCTGATTTTGACGAATCAGCGTTTTCCAGTGGCAAAATGTCGGTCAGGAAATCTCTGAGTGGTGCTGCTTAGCAAGTCTCCAGTGTCTCTCATCCAGGGATGTTTAATTCAGGAGTGTGTTGCACCATTATCACAGTCTGCTGTTTGGATACATGCATGAACTTGGCTTCTAGCCTGCCTCTTAGACAGAGTTTTCTTGGGCATTTGCCCAGTATCCTCAGGGATGCTGGTGATCATCATGTTGGACCTGTCAGGAATGTTCAGAAGGAAACATCAGCAGATGCAAGCAGCCATCTGTTACCAGGAGGCATGTGGATGAAGCGGGAACTTGAAAGACAGGAACCCCAACAACAGACGGGAACAGCAGAACAAGTGGCTCTTAATGAGACATCGTCATGTCTTCCCTTCCTTTTTTTCTACAGGATCAGAGCTCGTAATGTGGCACTTAAGATTCAAAACAAATCCTGGGAATTAACAGCATGTGTTTGTAGTCCTTTCTACACCCAGCAAAAGTCCTTAAACTTGTCCCGTTGACAATACCAATGCTCCTTCGGATGACAAGCTCGTAAGAATCTGTGCACGGGCCTGAAGGGGAGACGTCAGGACACCACTGGTTTTGATCAGCCCGTTAGTAATTAATGGGAGCATGATAGATTCATAAGTTTTCTATCACTATGGCTGTGACCGCTGCTTAGCAGACTGAGCTTAATTGTCTCACGGTTTCCTTGCCCTCCCTTGCATCTGTTTGTTGTTAGCCACCTGTTGTCTCTCACTGCAAACATTTCTGGGTGAGGGCTGATCTTTTTTTCATTAACCAATTGCACAATGTTATATCATGGCACCCATTACTGGAGCATCTCAGGATTTTAGGAACAACAGTAATACTTGTAGTTGCTAAGCATTTTGCAACAGGGATTTCATTGGAACAATGGTCTTTATTTATTTTTTTTAAGTAAAAAAACTCCTGCAAAATATTGGTGACTTTAGCACCCAAGGTAATCAGGTTTTCACAATGTTTTTTACTGATTTGTTTTTTGGTCTAACACAGACTTTGTTTTCTCACTGAAAACTGGGGTTTTGACACCTTAATTACAAGCATTACAGAAAATTAAATAGGTCTATCACAACCCTACCAAACAACATTTTTCATGGTACTAGCACTACCAGTCATCATTGTCATAGTCATCGCCAGGTTCATTCTGGACTTCCCTTTTCTATTTTAGCAAAAATGTTCAACTGAAAATGTAAGAAAAGACTGGCAAATATGATAAGCTATGGCAGGAATGGAAGAAAATCTGGGAAATAAAGATAATCTTGGATACAAAGAATCATAGACTCATAGAAAATTAGGGTTGGAGGTCACATCTAGTCTAACCCCCTGCTCAAAGCAGGACCAGCCCCAACTACATCATCCCAGATAAGGCTTTGTCTAGCTGGGAAAGAAAAGAAATCTAAGCTCAAGACCCCTTATCTTTTGCTTTGCTGGGATCTTGTGATATGGGTGTCATAACAGCTCTGCATAAACTAGAAATTTGCTCAGCTATAAAAAAAAACCTCCCAAATGCTCAGATACAAACATACAAGCAAGCTCCAGTGGCATAAAGAACCAAGAAAAGACTGTCTGAAAGGAGAAAGGTTTAAATAGGCACTAAGAGGTGAACAATTTTCTCCCAGGAAGTAAAGATCCAATTACTATAGAGCAAAGGATCCAGACTGAGCACGACACTGGACAATAAGGGCAATCCTTGATGTTACAGATGTGGGGGACAGACCCAGGAATTGAAGAGTAGGGTGTGTGCGTGTGCAAAACCTAGAAATTTAAAACATTACATAGCAGAGCAAGACTACTATATATGCAACAGAGGTGCTCAAGAATCAAGCCTATTTGGACCCAATGAGTGGGCACAAAAGATAAGCTAGTTATTTGATGGCTTATGTGAAATGATTTTGGCAGGTATTAGCCCAGTTTCTGGTGTCCATAACAAAAAAACACTACAAATACTAGCAAGAATTTGGCAACCCTGCAGGAAGGCTTAGGAGAAGTGCCAAGATTTCACAGATCTCAAAGACTAGGCTATCCTGCCATCTGGACGGGGTAGGAGGAGGTAACCTGTGCTGGAAGGTAGCTTTTCTGGTTGATAGGCATGGCCCATGTTCTCTGTGGAACAGGGACTTGAACATTAGTGCTGTCAAGGGAGCATCTCCCACCACCACTAAGTTAAAAGGAAAACAATGAAATCTCCCACTTCTGGCACCGGTTAGGTGCTCTACTTTGAGAAAATGACCCCCTCAGATGGCCTTGAAGAAAGTGTGCAGAGCAGTTGTAAGGGAAAAAAAGTCATAGTTTCATAGCTTCAAGTCAAGGTGGATAATGAATCGATTTCCACTTCCCCCCGGCAGGCTCCAACGCTAGCTGGTTGGATGCAGCAGTGTCCTCGCTGCTCTGCACTTGCTACCTCCCAAACCAGAAGTGATACAGCCACATCAGTATGGTACCGCAAACAGGCTAAATGGCACCATCACTCAGTGGTGCGAACCAGACTGCCCAAACTACTGTATGGACAGGGCTATGCTGCTTCCTGTTTAGAGGGCAACGCATGCAGAGCTGAGACACAGGTCTGTGGTGCCCCTCCTGGGATGATGAGTCCAATCTCTTCAGTCACAGCCTTTTCCTTTCAAAGGAAAGGATGTCAGCTCTCCTTACCTGCTGGCATCCACTGTCCCCGGCCCCATCACATCTGGACTTCCCAACTCCTATTTCTTCCTATGTGTGATTTGTCCTTTCCCCCTTTTCCTTTGACTTGGAGATGCCAAGTCAGAACAATGGGATAAATTATTGCTACCTGGAGGGGTAAACATGCTAGCAGCAACTGCACTGGCCCATAAGCTTTCCCAATAATGGGCTAAGTCCTTGGAGGGACTGAGCATCTGGCAGTTCCCTTTGACCTTGGTAGGACTTGAGGGCACTTTGTAGAATGGGAAATCATGCTGGTGGGAAATCCAGCGGGATCAGCACCTTTTTAGAAAAAAATCTCCAAACAATGGTTATTCAAGATGCTCAGGGCCTGTCAGGACCTAGCCTCATCTATTTACTTTTACTGTTGTGCAAGAGTGATATTGTAGCTGTGATGGTCCAGAAACTATGTGAAAGGCAAGCGTTTCTTAGGGCGATAACTTTTACTGGGCCAACTAAATAGTTGGGAGAAAGTTAGACAAGCTTTTGAATGCAGAACAGTCTGTTTTGAGTTTCTGATCACAAGCAGCCAGCCACAGCACAGTGAAACACAGCAGAAGGGAGGGGTAAGAGAAAATCTGAAGAGTAGCAGGCACAATTAGCAGGAGAAAGAAAGCTGATTACTGGAAGATCATGGCTGTCAAAAGAGAGGAAAGAATTCAGGAGTTGGGTAAAATATAATGCACCACAAAGCCAATATCAATGTTTAGCCGTTGTTTCTTAGTGTCCAGGCAGCTTATGAATTTTTGTTCCCGAATTCAGTGCAATCTTTGCATTCTCCTATGCCTGAGGAAGGGCACGTGTGCCCGAAAGCTTGCAAATAAAGAAAAATGTTTTTTGCAACGGTCTAGTCGGTCTAATAAAAGATATCACCTCTAGCACACTGACTGCTTGTACTTTTAGACCAACACGGCTACATGCTTTGTCTTTATTCCCGAGTTCACCTTTTAGAGGTGTTAGATAGATTTCCCCTGAGCAAGAAGATAGTGAGGTCAGAGAGCGTGGTTGCTCTGTGAGATGCATGCTCCAGTGGTGCATGTATGTCTCCGTTCTTTATATTTTTTTTCTGTGAGAGTTCATTCTGGTGTGAAGTTGCTGTTTAGTTTCACCCACGCAGATGCCATGAGGTCTCTTGGTGCATTGGATCAGGTATATCACATTTGGGGAAAGCCATGTGCAGGAACCATGAATTCTGATTGTTTTGTTGTGGGGGCCATTGATGGCAGTGGCACAGGAGATGCGCTGACAGAATAAGCGCTTCTTGCCAAGGCAAAGCTGTGTCCCACTTGATGTCTGTTGGGCAGTGGAGAATTTGCTTCTGATGATGAGTTGGACAAGGTTAGGGGGCTGTTTGAAAGCCAGGAGCAAAGGGGCTGGGAATATTTCTCTCAAGGTCTGATCTTTGTTCAGTATAGGCTGTAGTTTGGTGCGTCTTCTGATCAGTTCTGATCCAACTACATGGGGGAAACTAAACAGCAACCATGCAACGGAACAAACTCTCACAGAAAAAATGCAAAGTACAGAGACATACACACCATTAGGAGCAATCACTTCCTCTGTGACCTCACTATCCTTGTACTCAAGGGAAATCTACCTAACACCTGTAAAAGGTGAACTTGGGAACAAAAATACATACGCT